AATGAAATGATCCTCAAGACACCACAGCCCCCTTCCAACCTTTCTAACCTTATCTGTTAGGACTTTCCTATGCCCCAGACCGCTTCTGTTCTCATGCTCCAACCACGTGGTCTGCTGTTTCCCAGTTGTCACACACCTCCCATGACAAGCCCATGCAGAATACTCTCTCACTGAGGAAGCCCAAACACCTTCTGTTTGTAAAGTTTGCTCTGACCCTAGACTTTTCTTTGGCAATCCAAAGACTTTACTTCAAACTTTCCCAATGTTCTGGCTTTTCTAGCTAGCTCTAGGCCAGGTATGAAATCCAAGAAGGAAAGGGATGGGCTTTACTGTATTGATGTTATTCTCAGTGGCCCCCAGCACAATACAGTTTTGAGATTATAAACTTAGTATTGCTCTTATTCATATCAGCAATTTAGAAGATTAGAAAGCAAAACTATCCCTAGGAACACTGACGGAGCATGACTTTAATCTTATTACTTGGAAGAAAGAGGCAGGAGGATCTCCAGGAGTTCAGGGCCAGTGTGGTTTGCATAGGGAGTTCCAGGACAGTCAGGGTCACACATAGACCCTGCTTCAAAAAAGAAAAACAATAAACCAAGAATTTCTGAAAATATTCTGAGATTTTAAAAGTCCAATCAATTCCAAGTATATCATAAAGATATTACATAATGCTGAGAATAATGCCAATGCTTATATAGGAATTAATATTAGGCCAGGTTTATGTTTAAAAAATTATTATAATCTCAAAATTCATTATAAATCTGATAAAAACTTCAACCACAAGAAGGCTATCTCTGGCTATATTCTCACTTATAACAATTAAAAAACCAACCATCTTTTCGTTAGTGGTAAAGTATTTTGAGATTTTTCTTTTGGTAAGCTATGATTAATCATGGTTGAACAAAAACAATAATCTAACTGGCATAACATCTTACTTTGAAAAAAAAATAGATTTAAAGACACATTTCCTATTTCCAAGTGATTTAAACCATTTACAAAAATGCAACAAGGCAATGCAAATTTACCTCGGCCAACCATCAATAGAATTGACATTACAGCTTATATAATCCATTGCTATTATCTACAGAAGTCTATTAATATACTTGATAAGCTAATACAGAAATAAAACTGCTTTTCTGTATATTTATTTAAACTGAGGCAATTTCTACAGGTGAAAAGAAAAGTTACAGTGTGGTATTTGGTAAAAAAGCAAGAGCACTAATTCAGTTCCTTGGGAAAAAAAAAATCTAAGAACATATGATTCCTGTTTTTTTTCTAATTCCAAATATAACTCACTGTATTTAGCACCTCCTGTACTTTCCTGTATATTAGATAATTGCATACCATGTTAAAAACAAAATAAAGGAAAACATTCTTGCCACCCACCTTCTCATAAAATACTGAAATTATTAAACATATACACGAGGGTAGCTCATGAAGATTAAAATGACTAGTCTAAAGAACACAACATTTCTTTTCTTAATTAAAAAAATATGAGGATTTAGAGGGCTTTGAAGGATGACAACAAAAGAAAAGAGAAGTGTAGAATCATTGGCTTGGACAAAAACTGACAGTACTGCACCAGTTACGTGGTTGTGGCGCACGCCTTTAATCCCAGCTCTCCAGAGGCAGAGCCAGTCATCTCTGTGAGTTTGAGGCTAGCCTTGTCCACAGAGGCCTTCCAGGACAGTCAAGGAGAGGAAAGGAAGGGAGGGAGGAAAGACAAGCAAGTGCAAGAGAGAGCACGCTACTAAAAAATGCTCTGGAAAGCTGTGTAGTACCTCAGTGGCTGTGAGCCCTAACCCCACATTAATTAGAGAAGCTCTCTCACTCCTCCGACATTTGGTCCATTTGTACTGAGCCTCAGAAAAAAAAAAATTGTTGGTCTACAGAGCTAGTTCCAGAACAAGGGCTGTTACAAAGAGACGCTCTCTCAAAAAAATAAACAAAAAAAATTGTTTGAACAAAGGCATCCATGCCCTTAAAGTCTGAGAATCCCTAAGAAGGGTTAACTAACAACAGAAATTTTGATTCTCACGTTAACACCTATATAAATATAAGCAGTAACAGTAAATATGGAATATGGCTTTACAAAGTGGTAAAACAGGCTGAGGATGTAGCTCAGTGGCAGAGTGCTTGCCTAGCATATACAAGGCCTTGGGTTCAGTTCAATTCCCAGCACAATGGAAGGAAGGGAGGGAGGGAAATGGCAACACACTATAAAGAATAAGAGAGAAATGGCAATTAGTGTGATCAAAGTAATTATATATGAAAATAGCAAAGACAAAAAAATTAAGAAACAGGTAGACTGGTGCGTAAAATTGCTCTGCCTTCAAGGGTAAGTTTGTTCTTTTGTATCCGGTCAAATGCACTGGGCTACTGTTTACATAGGAGTCGGAAGTCAAGCTTTTTCAACAGCTTGGGTTAACAGAAAGACAGCAGATGATTTCAACAGATGATTTTTTTTTTTGGCTGTGAACCCAAAGCAAAGAGCTTTGGTAAGGTTGCTAAACAGTATTGTTTGGTATGTTTGCTTTAGGTGGATGGGAGGGGCCAGCACACCACCAGGTAGAGGACATTTCTATTTTGTTGTGAGAATCTGCACAAGAAATCACATCCCTTCCCGAGGAAGGACACTCCACATCCCTTGAGACAGGGGCTACCTGTAGCCCTGGCTGTCCTTGAACTCCCAGAAATCCACCTTCCTCTGTGTCCCAAGTGCTGGGATCAAAGGCGTGCGTGGCCTGGTGACGCACCAGATTCTTAATATTTCTTCCCCGTGCTTCCACTTCAAGGACAATTAGTGCCATCAAAATTCAGAAATTGTGATGTATGTATTTATTTATTTGGTTTTTCAAGATAGGGCTTCTCTATATGGCTTTGGCTGTCCTTGAACTCAGAGATCACTGCCTGGCTCAGGAATTGGTAGATATGGTAAAATAATTTCCTAAATAAATAAATGATGCTATCTACAAATTAACCATGTTAATGTTTTGTTTTCTCTGAGAATGAACAAGACAGAATACAACCTAAAGCTTCAGTGCCAATAACTTGGTCCATGACAGACATAACTAACTTCAACCAGTTTATACTACCACAATTGAAATTGTGAAAAAGAGAGCGTATTATCAAACTTGTCTGTAACAATAATCCTATGTACTGTATAAACCAGAAATCCTTCTACAGCAAATAAAACCATTGAATTTCCTATTTGCAAAACTTTACATAATTCAAAACAGTATTTCTTAATGTTTATTGTTTTGTAAGAGAATGTAATTTGAGTCTCTCCACATCAAGCTCAATTTCAAATAATAAGGATCAGAACAAAACCAGTACTCGTCATTTGCGTTTTTAAAACAAACTGTAATATTACTCATTGAAAAACAGTATTTTCCGTTTGGTTAAAACAATAACCAACATCAACAATAATTTGAAAATGTTAAGTGACATTTAGTTCTTAACTGGACCCCCTTTTGAAGGCTGAGATATGAAAATGGTAGTTGGTTCCAAACACAGGAAGACAGAAGCTGCTATGCACACTCTTCAAATTATGTAACTGACCTATTTAAGATATATGAATCACGATTCTAGTTCCTTTCCCAATCACTACAGGATAAATCTCTTCCTATAATATATGCTAATAATGCAAGGTGCTGACAAACACAGCATAGGGAGACTGAGCTCTATGAGGCCAGACTTCACTATCTTGTTCTTGGACTAAGAGATAAATCAGAATAAGTTCCAATGGCTTATTTCCTCAAAAAATTCCAATATAAGAACAAAATATGTTCCTTACAGATACTGATTTCCTCCAAAGAAAACTTTATATATAACAGATACAGGTAGAATTGCATAAAACCTTCTGCAAGATCTCAAAATGCCTATTCCTCTAACACTCATTTCTAAAACAAAGGAGTCAGATGCTTTAATCCTTTTCATGCTTCAGTTATTTTCAGAATAAGATATAACATTTGTAATGGATTTTAGAAATTCTGTATCAACAAAATATCAATATTTCATCTGATTATAATACTCATTAAACTACACAAATTCTAACCACGACATTTATATCATTAAAATCACTACCAAACATACAACTCAGGAAGGAGTAATTATATTTATTTTTTCATATTTAACATTTACTGATTACAAAATTTATTGCATTAAACCAAAAGTTTATCTCTGACAGAAGGTTTTAACTACTTGGGCTTTTAAAAGTGAATTATTTCTATTGTTCTTTCTAAGCAACATGTAGTTTAAGAATCCAATTATAGCTTGTAGAGGGCATACCTCTAATCTTCAAACAACCTTTAGAACAGTGGTTCTCAACCTTTAGTCATGACCCCTTTGAGATTCTTTCACAAGGATCATTGAAGATCATTAGAAAACACAGGTATTTATATTATGATTCATAAGACTACCAAAATTACAGTTATGAAGTAGCAACAAAAGTAATTTTATGTTTGGGGGGTCACTGTATGCCACATGAGACATGTATTAAAAGGTCACAGCATTAGGAAAGTTGAGAACCACTGCTTTATAGTCAAGCTCTTATCCATTAGACCTTATTCTAATTTTAAGTCCTTAGGATCAGCAGTGGCTTAAAAAGTGTATTTTAGAAACCTACTGTTCTTTTTCCACAAACAACAAATAACCATCAGGCATAGTGGTATGACTAAAATTCCAGATATCTGGTAATCAGAAGGCAAGAGGGTTGCCTAAAGTGAAGAATTTGAGGCTAGTTTGAGCAATATAAAAACCGTGTATCTCTCTCTGGTGGCTCTCATGTCCTAGGTGTAAGAAATAACTAGACTAAACTCACAGGATTTTGCTTCTAGACTATACTTTCAACATAAAGAAGAGTTCACATTTCTGTAGAAAATAACTTAGGAATTACCTTAAATAGATATATGACTTAAAAGTTGACAAGAAAGGTTTGCTTTTACATATACATAGCATTTCAGTTGGAGAATACAGGGAAAGCACAGACACTTTACCTGCTTCCTGTGAATTTAACACTTCTAAGGCATGCATCATGGCACTTGCGAAGACATTGGCATCCTCTTTGCTGCCAAAGTTGAGACCATACACCTGTCTAGCATCCCGCCATTGGTGGAAAGTCTGTGTAGCTTGATTGTACTTCAGCCCTTTAGGAATGGCACAATTTATCACGACCTAAAAGACAATAATTCATTACAAAGTCAGGCTAGCTAGTCATTGGGAAAATAATACAAGTCAATACAAATCCTGACTGTGGGTTATTTATAAAATTTGTTCCTAGCAGAGTTTGTCAAAAGTAGCTGGAACAGTTACTTAGGGTAACAGCATTTCTACAGAAATGAGTCTGATGGAATTTAAGCTATCATAGGATTACGAAAGCCCTCCTTTAAAATCAACAAAAGGAAAGCAATGCACCTCATTACATATACTTTAATTTGTCTGCTGGAAAACTACAAACACAAAACCAGAACATTAACTGTAAAGGGCCCTCTTGACTCCTCCCATCCGGAGAGAGTATCTCTAAAACTACAAACTAGTTTTATAAGATTTGAGAAAAACAGTTATAGAATCCATGTTCGGAGATGTACCTGTTCTCTTTCTTCAAATTCACGTTTGAAAGTCATCAACTTGTACATGTAACTGTGGTTTATTAATTTTCATTGCTTTATACAACATTCCTTTGTAAATAAACTGCCAATCTGCCCATTCTTGCACTAACATTTTTATAATCTAGAATTTGTGGCTACTACAAATAATGACATGAACACTCTACTGAACATCTGGTGAACACAGCACACATTCTTACTGAACATGCACTTATGAGGGTATTAGTATAGGTCAACTTTAGTAGAAAACGCCACACAGCTTTCTAAACTGGTCCTGTCACTTACACTTTCTGAGCAGTGTGTGAAAGTCTGTATGACTCCAGACACTGTGCAGCCTTACCGCTGATAATATTGGTCTTTATAGCTATCTGGTTACTCTGAATGTGCGTCCTTGTGTTGTTGGTGTATATTACATTACTCTGATCACTAATGAGGTTTAGTACATTTTCAACTTCTGAAAAAAAATTTAATTTATTATATTGTGTGTGCATTATGGGGTTCAAAAGAAGGCCTGCATGTCATAGAGCATTTGTAGAGGCCAGATGACAACTTTGTGGCATTAGTTCTCTTTCCATCTTTATGTAGGTTCTATGGATAAAACTTAGGCTGCCAGGACGCACAGCAGGTGACTTTACTCACTAAGTTATACATAGGCTCCCTTTATGTTTTTTATTTGCTTCAAAGTAATTCTTTTGTGAATTCCTGCTTATATGCATTAATAAACCTCTGTTCCACTTCTTTCCTAAGTGAGCCATCTTATTCTTCGCAAATTATCCCAAAAGAAAGATGTTTGTGTGACAAATATCTTGTATCACCCATAACTTGTCTATCCATTCTCAGTGATACTCACTTCTTTCTATTTCAAATTAGCAATCCTTTTTCCTTTTAATGTTTTTGTGTTCTGTTTAAGAAATATTTCCCAATCTCAGTAATCAAAAAGTACCTTCGTTTGTCTTATAGAAGCTTTATTAACATCTGCATCTCTGAACAAGTGGAATTGACTGACTCAAGTCTATGGTGTAAGACAGGATCCGATTGACTTCTGTTAACCGAGATGCAGGTTTACCCTTTGTCCCACTGGCAAATATATCTAAAATTTACCCAACTCTAGTGTCCTAACTACTCAAGTTTTCTACTAGGTCTCAGCCACTAGCTTTGTTCTCCTACTCTGTTCCTCATTACTGCTTTAGCTATTTTTGGTTCTTTGTATAAAGCTACTATTTACACTCTTATTGTCAATTTCCAAATTTAAGACTGTACAGAAACGCTGGGCAGGGGTGGCACACGCCATAAATCCTAGCACTCGGGAGAAAGAGGAAAATGGATCTCTGAATTTGAGGCCAGTCTGATTTCAGAATGAGTTCCAGGATAGCCAGGGCCACACAGAGAAACCCTGTCTCAAAAAACAAGCAAAACAAAACAAACAAAACACCCAAAAAATATTGTACTGAAGCTAACAATTTGATCACTGACATCATAGAGCTATCTCATGAGTATATTCCTTATTTAGGTTGGCATTAACACTCAATGGTTCTCTGTATTGGTATCTTGAGCACCTACCATAAACCTGTCAGGCATTTGATAAAATATTGTTATTTTGTTTTAAAACATTCTCCATAGGCTCATGGTTGAACACTTGGTCCCTAGCTGGTGGCACTGTTTGGCAAAGTTGTGGAACTTTTCGGAGGCTGAGCATGTCTGGAGAAAGTGGGTCACTGGAGGCAAGCCTTCAAGATCTACAGCCTGTGGCTCCTAGCTGGCGACTAAACGTGAGCAGTCAAATTGCTGTTCCCTCTGACTTAAGCTGCTTTAGTCGGCATATTTTATCACAGCATCAGAAAAGTCACTAAGACACTACTGCAAACAACATTAAATTCATTTTCTAACTCAGAGGACAGCGTACCTAGAGCACTTATTAAACTTACTTCTTGATTCTGACCTATTACTAAACTAAGATTCATTAATTCTAACATATCCTGCTAGTCCTAATGATTTATATCCACATTTCTTGCCTCAAATAAATGTTACCTATAACTAACTTTTTCATATCTTCTTTTTTAATCCTTGTACATTTTATTTTCTTTTTCTTGCCTAATCTACTAATTAGATATGCAACAATGTTAAAAAGATACGGTCAATACCAAGTATCTTTTGTCTGATGCTATCTTCTGAAGAGTGTGAATATTAATCTTATAAGAAAAAACGAACAGTGAAACGCTTTAGTCATGATAAATAAAAGCAAGGCCATAAAAGAAACAAGTCTGCTGAGAAGATAGGGAAATGAGTCATAAGTTGACTTCATAGACAAGGTTAATACTGTAGCAGGTCATAAGAGTTTAAGTATTTGCTGGGCAGTGGTGGCGCACGCCTTTAATCCCAGCACTCAGGAGGCAGAAGGTAGGTGGATCTTGTAGACCAGGCCAGCCTGGTATACAAGAGCTAGTTCCAGGACGACTAGAACTGTTACACACAGAAACCATGACTCGAAAAACAACAACAACAAAGTTAAGTATTCATGTACTGCTCACTTTGTTGTGGTCAGGCTAAAAATGAATAGGATCACATAAGATAGAACATACCACCAATGTGGACTCAGGCTGTATGAGATTACCTGTAGCACACAGTTTAGTCATACAATATGCTTTCACAGTCAGTCACTCACTAAGTAGTTACCATCAAGTGATAATATTTAAACTTCTTTTTTTTTTAAAAAAAAACACGGTATCTATTATGAAGCCCTCACTATCCTATAATTTGCTATGTAGACCAGGCTGGTCTTGAACTCACAAAGATCCATAGGGATTATGCATGCACCACCACAACAGACTATACATTTCTTATTTTTAATGACCAGTTACAATGTTGTCCCATCCTCAAAGATTAGATGATTGAAATAATTGATTCCTATTTGTTTGTTCTGAAGATATGATCTCACTATATAGCCCTTGCTGGCCTCGAACTCAGAGATCTGACTGCTTTTATCTCCCAAATGCTAGTAGTAAAAGAATCTTCCATGGTTTTGCTTCCACATGTGATTCAGACATATACACAGGCAAAACAAAACAAAAAAGAAAAAAAAAGGTTTTTGTTTTGTTTTGAAGAGAGGGTTTCCCTGTGTAGCTCTGTCCTGGAACTTACTCTGCAGACCAGGCTGACCTCAAACTCACAGAGTTCCATTTGTCTTTGCCTACCAAGTGCTGGGATTAAAGATATGAGCCATCATTGCTCGGCTAGTTTTTAACCCTTTAGTTTTCATTTTGCTCTCTATAATATCATCATGGGCAGTACTGGCAAGGCACTAACCAACTGGTTTTCAACCTGTGGGCCATGACCCCATTGGGGGTCGAATGACCCTTTCACAGGGGTCACACACATATCAGATATCCTGCATATCAGATATTTACATATGATTCCAAACAGTGGCAAGGTTACAATTGGGAAGTAGCAACAAAAATAATTTTATGAGTGGGGGTCACTACAATGTCAGGAAGGTTGAGAACCACCAGTCTAACTAAGGGACCACTCTGCTGGAGGAGAGGTGAAGAGAGAGAGCAGATGGCACAGTTGAACAATACAGGCTGCGATGAGTGGAGTTTTGGGTGAAGAATCTGAGGAGACTAGAGGCTGTGTAATACAACAACCAAACTGGAGAACAAAAGAAAATGAGAGGGAGGAGGAAGGGACAGGTGAGAAAGACATGAGGTGAACTAATTTCTGTAAAATAACCCAGAACAATGAAACGTTCTCATCAGAGAAACGCTGCATTTCCTAGGAGCTCCAGTGCAATTGATGTTAGTCAATCACCTATGTAAAGAAGACAAACTGCAGCTTCTATTTCCCAGGGAAACTCCAAAATCTCCTCAGACAAAAAGTAGAGGCCTTTCTCTCTGCTCTTTTTGAGATGCAGCCTGAGTCCCAGTTGTGTACAGAAGTCCAAGTTTCAACGCGCATTCACTACATGCATGACAAATAAAAATCCTGACAAATCAACTTCCAACTGAGGGTTACTGCAGCGTGGGTTTACATTCCATCTTACTAGAAAACCGTGGCTCTAACTTTCTTTTAACAAGAAATCACGGGGTACCAGATAGAACTTAGATGTGTTTTCTCCACACTTTGTAGCAGGATGGTTTTAAACGTGAGTTAGATTACATCTTCGGAAAACACTTATGGGTCTTCTGTCTATGTGTTACTTTCATTGGTTAATAAAGAAACTGCCTTGGCCCTTTGATAGGCAGCTTAGATAGGTGGAGTAGACAGAACAGAATGCTGGGAAGAAGGGAAGTGAGTCAGACGCCATGATTCTTCAACCCAAGACAGATCTAGGCTAGAATTTTTCCTGGTAAGCCACCACCTCGTGGTACTATACAGATTATTAGAAATGGGTTAATCAAGATGTGAGAATTAGCCAATAAGAGGCTAGAACTAATGGGCTAGGCAATGTTTAAAAGAATACAATTTGTGTGCTGTTATTTTGGGGCATAAGCTAGCCAGGCAGCCGGGAGCCGGGCGGCAGGAACACAGCCCTCAGCTCCATTTACAGTTAGTATACAAAGAACACCAGGAAGCCTGATCTAAACTTCCCCTCTGTCTCCATCTGTCAAAGAGGGACCAAGATAACAAGTAATCAAACAACCTAATTACTTGCTTGAAGATTTGGAATAGGGAATTATCAAAAGCTCAGCTGTCACCTTAGATAGGAACCTTGAGACAGAACCTAATTATTCTGGCACTACTAATGCTTACTACTTTAAAAAAAAAAATCACTTATGAATTTAACAATACATTCTGAAACCATTTAAACATTCAAATTCTTTCTCTAGCCTCAAAAAATAATAAGGAAATAAGTTCCATAAGCATACAATATATTTTTTACACTGTACTTCATCTTTGTCTATCCTGAATTTAGACTTTTATAAAAACTAGTCATTTGGATGGCCAAACAATCTAATGAAGAAAAAAAAATCAAGCAAACAAAAACACCTCTAGTGCTCAGTGAGGCTTGATGGACATCAGTTCAATCTTCAGAGCCTACAAAGCGGCAAGAGCAAACAGACTCCCAGGAGCTGCTCTCTGATGTCCACATGTATGCTATCATATGTACAAGTCTGTACTTATAAGTATGTACGCACACACAAATACAAATTGTAAAAGATTTTAGCAGACCCTTACCTGATGATCTTGAATCTTTCTGCCCACCACTCTGAATGTGTTGTTGCCTGTATGGTGATATATATGTACTCTGCTGAACCCAGTTGAGCCACCAGCTGGCACCCACTTCTTATTGGCATCATCATAAACCATCACAGCAGCTCTTGCCTGACAGATACTCTGTTCACTGTAAAAAAATAAAATTCAAATGACATATTTAAAATATGAGAGGTATGCCACAAAGTCATGAGCCAAGATTAGTCAACTTGGCAGTCAGTTATGAACAGTGGATCTTACCCCTATGGGTGAAGTCTAACGGGAAAGGCAAAAACAAAGTATAGTAAGGGTGGAGTCTGGGATCCATAGAAATACAAAGAATACCAGAAGTATTTTATTCTAAATATATCTTATTATCAAGATGAATAAATCTATTAATACAACTATAAATTAACCATTATTTGTTTAACTATACGATGGTGACCGTCTGAGATTTATTTTCTCCTTGTGGACAAAATTTTAGAATTATCATTAAGATCACTTCAAAGTCTCTAACAAATACAGTCAAAGGAGTATCTGCTCTTCCAAACACAGAGATAAAACTAATAATCAATGGCTAACAACATGACTGACTCCTTTCACACCCTTTAGTCAAGTTAATATCCTACACTTGGAATATTCTTTTTCCTTCAAGTGTATAATAGGGGCTGGAGAAAGAGCTCAGGGATTGAGATCTTATTGTTCATGCAGAGAACCCATTTTTGAGACACAGTACGAGACATACATACACACAAATAAAAATAAAAAAGACTAAAAGATGATGCCTAAGGATTCTGCTAGATTTAAAATTCTCTTCGTCATAGATAAATACTAAAAAAGGAAGACCAGAACTTTTGGTTCCTATCTATCAAATTGCTTCTTATTAAGTGATACTGAGATAGCAATTTATATCTAATGCAGACTCTCTGTGTGATTCTTTGGGGCTTGACAGCTATGGGAACTGGACAGGACAGATACCCCAACAAGCCGACCCTCATGTTACAGATTTCTATGAGTTTAAGGGCTATAAAACATGACTCCATTCTTAACATAAATGGCATTTCAGGAGGCCACTAAAGCCTGATGACTTGAATTAGATTCAGTACTGCACACCTGTAACTCTAGTGTTCTCATGGGAGACAGAAGACTAAGACAGGAGACTCACAAAAGGCTCACAGACCATCTAACATTTATCTACCAATTCTGGCCATAAATGTGACACAAAAATTAATCCAATGGTAATTGAGTTTTTTTTTTAATTTCATAGACCTACAAATCTAAAAGATTGGGTAAATCAATACAGAACAGGATGTTAATATTTTGGTCTATTACCATTTTGGTTAGATTAAAATCTGTAGAGGGAAGATGATCACAAGTTGTTAAAATGAGGATTTTTTTTTTTCAAACAGAAAAATAGGAATAAAAAGAGATGGAGAAATGTCTCAGCAGTTAAGAGAACAGTTGCTCTTCAAGATGACACTGATTCAATTCCTAGTACCCATATGGTGGTTCACAACGCTATGTAAATCCAGTCCCAGAAAATCTGGCCTCTGCAGGTACCAGGCACATACATGGTACACACAAAAACACATTACTTTAAAAAAAAATCTTAAAATGATCAAAATGTTTGTATTTTCTTCTTCTATTTTATTTTAGTCCAGTGAAATCGGCAAAAATCTGCTTTAAAATAAGACAGCTCTGTGAGGTATGGCAGTACATACCTGTCATCCCAACACCCAGGAGGCTGAAGGCTAAGGATTGCTGGTTTACTCCACCCACACCCACACATATACACAGACACAAATTAAAGAAACACAATGTTACTTTATGTATGATTGTAGCTTGGTCAGTTAATTCATTTCTAAATATATTCCTGAACAGGTATGTATATATAATGACAGAAAATGTGCATCAAATATAGGCACCAGTAAATAAATGTTCATATTTAAGGGAAAAAAAAAACAACTTGTATGTACTGTTTAGTGATAATGCAGTAAAGCAGTCTGAAACAAACAGCAATTCCCTTTCAAAGACATAGATAGCATCTAATAGTCATCTGTTAAAGTATAAATATCCCAGTGCCTCTCACACAGTAGGTACTCTTTAAACTCTGGCCAATAAATAATCACATCTAACAAAATCTGATTTATCAAAAACTTGAATCAAATACTTTTTGTTTTCTTAAATCTTCCTAGAGTTCCCAAAGCCATCATAAATTGTTTCCTTTTGTGGTCTCCTGAAGATCAGGAAAACAAAGCAGCCAACCATTAGAGAGAACTTTTATCTCTACCAAATCTTCAGACTGAAAGGGCGAGATCCTGTCTGTATGAATCCTCAGATTCCACACTCCACGAGTTCCTGTCTCTTTCCTTTATACACCTCTCTCTGCCCAGTGATATCACTTCTGTCTCTACCTCCCTTAGTGCTTGGATTAGAACTGTTAAGCCCCAAACACTGGGGTTAAAGGTGTGAACTACAACCACCTGGATCTGTTTCTGGATTGATTTTGTGTAGCCCAGGATAGCCTTGAACTCGACAAGATCCATCTGCCTCTATCTCCCAAATCCTGGGATTAAAGGCACGTGCCACCACTATCTAACCTGTATGGCTGACTAGTGTAGCTGCTTTGCTCTCTGATCTTGAGGCAAGCTTTACTTATTAAAACACAAATAATATACCACTATAAAGGAGATGGTAAAATACTGAAGTATTTTCAAAAACATAAACTCAAGCCACCATGAACTAAAGAGACTGTGGAAGGTCAAATGAAAACTAGGAATAGAAGCAAAAGTTCTAGACCTGAAAACAGGCGAACATGTGGAATGTTTGAAGTATAACACTAAGGATAGAAACTATGGCCATAACTAGTGTGTTGATGTGGGATCCCCTCTGTACGCTGTGAATATATTTTATTATCATCGGTTAATATAGCAAGGCAGGGATTCCAAGCAGAGAGAGAGGAGAAAAGAAGGCAGTCAGAGAGACGCCATGTAAACGCCCTGAGAACCTTACCAGTAAAGCAGGAGCCTCGTGGAAAAAAAAAAAATAATAATAGAAATAGGTTAATTTAAGATGCAAGAGTTAGTTAAGAAGCCTGAGCTAATAAATATAGCTTCTGTGTGATTATTTTGGGTCTGGCAGCCGGGAAACAAATGAGCAGTCTCCGACAACAGCATGTAACTAATGTACCTGCTTTAAAAAAGGGGAGGGGGCACTGTGTTGACCTGAAATCCTTCACTAGATCCCTAAAGAGCAGTTCACACCAATACGGAGTCATTAATGCTAAATACCACAATCAGATAGAAATTTTAAGTAGACAGATTCTCAAACTGAGTGGCTGTTTCTCTGTGCCCCCTCTTAAAAAAGAGGTCCGCCTGAGTCAGAGTAACCCTAAAATCCCAAATTCCCTCAGCTTTAACCCTCACACGAAAAGCTAACTGATAGTGATGAGCCCATGTCCCCCATTATTATTTGTTCCCACCTTACAAAACCAAACCCATTTCTCAAAAGGAGCATATACATAAAGGTCCATCAGATATACGAGATGAAATTTTTGTTATTTTTTTTTTTATAGCTACTCCCCTCCCAAGACACTGACTACTCCCCTGGGAGAAAAAAAATGCAGAAGAGAGGCTAACAGTCCCCTGTGTGGTCCCTGCCTTCCTCAGGAACAGCATAGACTAGACAAAGTCCTTCTCATGGGACTTTGCTCCTGCTTCCTCAAGTCATTTCTCCTTGCAAGTACACAGGTTTCCAGACCCACAGTTAGTGTGTTCTGTGAGAGTGTAAGTGACCTTTGGGGCTCTGCAATGACTGAAAGTCACTGTCACCAACTGAAGCTTTAGAATTGACTGTCAAGAGATGCAGAAAGTGGTAGAACAGCTAAGAGTCTAAACTCTGGCTTTTCAAATAAAGGAAAAACACCCCCATCATTCCAGCTCTCTGGAATAGAAACCACTGGCTAGCTGATCATGCAAATTTCAGAGCCAAAGCTGTAACTTACTGGTGGGCAGCAGACACTTGACCACATTTGGTGATTGACCTCCACACAAAAAATGACTGTCAGCATCTCAACCCTGTAATTAATTGCCTCTTCTAACAGACTCAAGATTCAACATAAAAATGGGATTCTTACCTGTGCACCTTTAATCCCAGCACTCGGAAGGCAGAGGCAAGTAGATCTCTGTGAGTTCGAGGCCAGTCTGGTCTACAAGAGCAAGTGCCAGGACAGGCTCCAAAGCTACAGAGAAACCCCGTCTCGAAAAACTAAAAAGAAAGGAGAGAAAAAAAAAAAAAAAAAAAGGAATCCCTAAAATCTTGGGGGGGGGGGCAGTTCAAAGACAGGGGCTCTGATGTCCTGGAACTCACTATATATACCATATTGGCCTCAAACTCATAGGCCTTGAACTCACAGATACCCACCAGTCTTGGCCACTCTCTGCCTGGCTCTTAATTTCTTTAGAACTGAGTATGACAGTTTCTACCCGTGCACTTTTTGCACACTGAAGGAGACTAAAACACTTGCAGGATGAGCGGCACCACACAAAGAACACATTAAGAAGCAATACGAAGACAGGTAGCATAAGCGCCTGAGCAGAAGCCTCAGAGGACGCCAATCCTATTACCAACTTGTTCATGGACTTCCTGTCTCTAGAACTCTGAGAAAGTATATAATTTCTGTTCAAGCCAAACAATAATAACAACAACAACAATAATGCAAACTTGAACATGTAACATTTTAAAGATACCAAAACTTATTTCCATTAGCCAAATATGAATCAGTAGTTTATGTAAAAAGGTTTCTCCTACAACAAAAATTTATGAAATATTAAATAAGATTTCTACTTTGCTATTACATTAAAAAACTTGAGAAAGATAGGGGAAATTCTGTTTACTAATAACAGGTTCTTCTATCATGGGTGACTGAAGAAAACAGCAACAACATTGTGAATGCCACTGACAAACAGCAGATACAAATAAGGGTAGCAAAAATACAAAGCAAGAAAACCATCTGGGATGTAGACACTACAAATATGTAGAACGGCAAGATGTATCATTCATCATGTTCACAAAAGCAGCAATATTAATTTTTAAGAGGTAAAATATGTCACTACTAAGCTCTTCATCCCACAGTATCCAAGTTCATACACA